ATAATTATTTGGAAAATGTTGTACATGCTGAAAAACATTTGTCATTTAGATTTTCCATCAGCATAAAAAATTTTGTTATATTTAATCATTTTAAATTTAGACTTTTCTTAACTAAAATTGCGTCCTAGGTCCTCAAACTAAAAAAAATTAAAATAAAATAGAAAACTAAATCCAATTTGTAATGAAAAAGATTATAAAAGACCGACTAAACATTATAATGAGGACTACCTAGGATGCAATTACGATGTATCACTAACAAGCAATTTATTTATTCCAAGATATTTATTCCTCAGTCAAGTTAGTTATAACGAACAACGCTTTAAACGTACCTGTCAAGTTATTTATTCCAAGATAGAGAATTTGAAGCTTTGACGAGTTCCAGATTTCCATTGGAATGCTTCCACTAAAATAGTTGGACGACAAAGAAAGCAATTTAAGATTCATGCATGTTCCCAAGATTGGAGAAATGTTGCCACTTAATTGATTCACTGAAATGCTTAGCCTCTCGAGTATGTTATTGGAGAGATTTGACTTTCATTGCGGAGAATGTTTTATGGTTACTTTGAACGCTGAATTTAAGTTATTTAGATTAATGTGATATCATTTGGTATATTTTAAAAATAAAAGACAGGTGAACTCAATATATAAATTCTAGTTACCAAAATCGAACTAGAATCGATTGATTCTTGCTTCTAATAACCAAAATCGTTTTAAATTTAAGCATAACAAGCCCAACCATATTCAGGTGCTTCAATATTACTCAATTTTTTTTCGAAGGAAATTTAGTGAAATTGGTTTTGGTTTATGCTCAAACATGGCCATGTTTCCTCGAAATTCAACTCATTCAAGTAGGTTGGTTAATTTGTCTAACGATTCCTTTACATAAATCAATTCAAACTGTTGTCCGAGTAGACACTTTCTAGTCGATCCAGTTTTAAAAAATTATACACTATAAACATGTTAAAAAATATTATTATTTGAAAGAAATTCTATTTTATACATATTAAGATAATTTCTAGTCAATGTTGTTGGTTAACTCAACCCCTAATCATCGAATTTTCAAACACACCCCACTCACCCAACTCTTTCAACATGACCCAATAGAAATTTTAATACAAATTTGGTCAGCATACATGTTTTCTTCTCTCTTAATTCTTATTCTCTGTCTCTCCTGTTGACGTAAAAAATTGTCAAGAAATTCGATGTTAACAACATGTGATTAATGTTGAAATCTACTTAAATTCGATGTGCTTGCTTAATTGTCCCAAGGCCTAATTCCATGATTAATTTGAAGCAGCT